GCGCGGGCCGCGGGGGTGCTGCCCTCGGGCCGGCACCACCGCGGGCCGCTAGTCGTGGACGCCGGGGAGCTAGGGCGGCTGCTCGACGAGCTGGACGGCGGCAGCGACGGTGATGATGGTGGTGGTGGCAGCAGCAGCAGCCGCCGCCGCTGGCAGGGAGACGGGCGGCTGCCCGCCGGCGGGTGCGCGACCATGGAGCTCGACGTGACGGCGACGGAGCCGCGCGAGGCGGCGTGGCTGGTGATGCAGCGCGTGCGCTGGGAGGCCGTGTTCGGCGCCGACCGGGTCCCGCCGTCCGGGCCGTGGCGCCGCCTGCTGCTCGCGCCGTCGCTGGAGAACCTGGCTCGGCTTCGCGGCGCGCGCCGGACGTCGTCGTCGTCGCCGCCGCGCCAGAGGCTTCTGTCGGTGCCGGGCCGGCAAGAGCAACAACAGGAGGGGGGAGAATCCTCTGCCGCCAGCGTCCTCACCACCGGTAGCGGCACCAGCCGCCTAGTAAGTGTCCACAACATCGTCCGGTTCCCTAGCCCAAGTCGCATTGGGTCCCGCGAGAGCCTTTGGGTCCGGTCGCGCCGTCGCTGGCGTGGAGCCGTCCCCACGCCCGTCTCCAGGGCGTGGCGGTCCATCAGGCTTGGCCGTGCACGGGGAGTCGTCATCGCCCCGAGCCCCGGGGAGCGCCCGGAGCGTCCCACGACCCGGTCCATGATAGTCCTGGGCTGAGAGACCAGTGTAAGCCATACAAAGCAGGGCGAGGTAAGGTCAAGAATGTAGAGAACGAATGCCCTGGTGATCGTAGATATTACATGACTCTATCGCTTTTTTTTTTCAGATCGGCTTTTTACCTGGTTCCATATAGACGCCTAGGCAGCCTGGTAGATTATAACAAAGTTGCAAAAACGTACATGAACGAGAGACAACCGTGTCGAGTGGTGTCTGCCCGCCGGAGATAGGAGCCCAGTATAAGGCAAAGTGAGAAGCGAATAAATAGTGAGGCATGGCTGCTGCTCGTCCGTCTTGGCTGCAAGCGGTGGCATCGCGGGAGAAGACAACGGCATGTCAACGAGCATATACCGTCAGTCGCGCCTCTCCATTCTTCTATCCTGCTTTCCACCCATCACGGCGGATATGAGTGCCGTAGCCTAATTCTTCTCTGCGGGGGCCGTCATCGGGACGTCCTCATCGGCAGCACCTGCGCCGCCTTCTTCTTCCACGGCCACGACGCCGTCCAACGGTTCGCCCTCGACAGGCTTGCCGCCCTCGTACGTCATCCGCCGCCACCCGCACTCCTCGGAGCTGTCCTTGATCCACTCGACCGTAGGGAAGTAGTGCTCGTTCTTCTTCATGGTCACCACCCACGGGACGCTGTCAAAAGTGACGGCCTTGAGGCGGAAGTCTGCGCCGTCATAATGGGTCAGTCATCAGAAATATAGCGAGTGCGCACTAGATCAATACTCACATGTGTTGTCGGGGATGGCCGTCACGGCAGCAAGGAAGCTCTTGAGGTCGGGGGTCGACTGTCCGTTGACGTGTGTGATGAAGTTTGTGGGGGCCAGGCCGTACTGGTACGAGGGCGAGCCCCGGGTCCTGGCCGAAACGTAGACTTCGCTGAAGAGCTTGCTGATCTGCTGCCTGACGGCGTGGTGGGGGCGGTGGAAGATGGCACCACAGAAGGACACGGCGTGGTCCGTCTCGACGTCGTCGGCGGCGACGGTGGGAACGCGCAGCTGCACCTCGCGGCACTCGCGCACGATGACGGCGTCGAGGAAGTCGTTAGAGTACATGATGTCGAGCTCCGAGATGCGCGTGATGAGCTTCGTGTTGAGCGTCAGCAGAATGTCGCCCTCGAGCAGCGACGTGGCTCCATCCGAGGGATCCTGGTCGCGCTCAAAGGTGCGCTTGGTGACCATGAACAGTTGGTGGTGCGCCGTGTTGGCGACCGAGACCTTCTGGATCCAGTCCTCGGAGACGCCCATGATGCGCGCCTGGGACATTTGGATGGACCGGAACTCGACAGAGAGCATGCGCAGCTTGGGCACGACGCCGGCCTGGATCTGCTTGACCACGGGGAGCAGCGTCGGCGTGGCCAGGCCGAGGTGGTACTCCTCGTCACGGTGCGTCGACGGCGATCTCTCGCCGAGATACGTCAGCCACAGCGCCTGCACCGTACCATCGGGCGCAACCAGCACGCCGCTGCCGCACTGACCGCTGAGGTTGGTGTCGACTGTGATAGCGTCGACGTTCACGGCCCTGTAGCGCGGCGCGCCCGAGTTAGCAGGGATGGCGACGGCAAAGATCTCGGTCACGGTGGTCGCGGCGTGCACGACGCGGCCGATGCGGTTATATCCGATGAAGTAGGTCGACGCGCCCTGCGTGATCTCCTCGGCGCTCAAGCGGGCGCTCTGAACGGGGGCATCAACCAGGGCCGGGTCATACTGGATGACGGCGTAGTTCTGCAGCGGGTGCAGGAAGACGACCTTGCCCTCAACCACGATGGACTCGCCGATGGTGATGGAGATGTCGCACAGGTCGTAGGGCACGATGGCGCGCGAGATGACCACCAGGCCCTTGGCGGCGTCGACTACGAGCCCCATGCCCCACTTGCGGTTCTTGGGGAAGCCGTCAAGCTTCATGGGCATGGTGCAGGTGACGTGCACAAAACTGCGCACCAGCTCGGCCACGGCCGGGTGCGACGTGTGCTCGAGTTGGATGAAGCTGGCCTTGCGCGGCACCGGCGGCACCGCGGGCAGAGGGTCGGCGATGTCGGAAAAGTCCCACAGGCCCGTGGTGTCGTTGCGCACCGCCAGCTTCATCTTGGACGACCAGTGGCGGTCGACGTAGATGATGGACGTGTTGAGCGTGTGTAGATCACGCAGGTGCTTGTACGTCACCACGATTCGCGCCTTGTCTGGGATTGCTTTGACGACTTGGATGAAGGTCTCAAGGTCCGGCACCTTCTTCTGGTCCACCGTCTGCACGATCCAGCCGTTGTCGCTACTGTCGAACCGGAACGAGCCCGTGGCCTCGCACACGTACACGCCCTTGCACGCCACTCCGTACAGTCGTGCCTGCTGGTACGACAGGCTATGGAAGCTGCCGCCCGCCACCGACACGAACCGGTCAGGCGTGATCTTGTGCAGGTCGCCCACCGAGATCTCCACCTCGACATCCTCGCCGCCGCGCTGCAACAGCAGCCGCACTGGCTGGCCCACGCTCGAGTCAAGGATATCGTCCAGACGGATAAACTGAGTGATGAGCTCGCCGTTTACCTTGATCAACACGTCGCCCTCCTCGACATTCTTGTGCGACGGCCCTTCGGGCAGCACGATCTCGGCGACGAGCATATTGGTCTCCTTGGGAAACGCCTCGCGCATCTTCGCCTCCCACTCGGGCGCCAGGCCTAGCCTGCGGCACTCGTCGAACGGCTTGAGCAGGAACTGGCACTGAATGTCGCCGCGTGTTATCGGGTTGCCCTCCTGCAGGCACTTGAGCGCCCGCAGCGGCCGGTCCAGGGGCAGGAAGTAGTCGGTTGAGGCACCGTCGGCCCTGCCTCCGGCCTGCAGCGCCACAGCGTAGCCGTCGATGTTGACCACAGGACTACCCGAGCTGCCACCGCTAGCCGCGGCGCTGGCCTGGTAGTAGCACGTGTTGAAGTCGCTATAGCCTTCGCCGTACTCGGGTGCGTTGCGGTCCAGACGGCTGATGACGCCCGACAGGATGCTGAGCTTCTCTCCCGCGTCGTTGCCGACAACACGGATCTCGATACCCACTGGAGATTCGCAACGGTTAGCGCTTCATGTACTAGCACGAGTTGTATCACAGTTATGGTTCTGTACCTTTGGCCAGGTCTGGACGTAGCGGCAGCGCCGCCACGGGCATGTACTTGATGGCTTTGGGGTCGAACTTTAGAATTCCGAAGTCGTGCACCGGGTCGCGGTATACGGGATATGCGTCGACCTCCTCGTGGTTGTCAAAGATGACGTAGCCCCAGAAGGGGCCGGAGCCGACGACGTGGCGGTTGGTCAGGATGTAGCCCCTCTCGGCGTCGACTACAAAGCCTGTGGCCTCGCTCGTCAGGGCGGCGTCTGTGTCAAAGGAGCACGTCATGCAGAAGCGGATCGAGACGACGTTGCGGACGACCGTCTGGATCGTCTCCTGCCACTCGGCCGTGTCGGGCCCGACGGCGGGCAGGAGGGACAGCGGCAGGTCATCGTCGGCGCCGTCCTCGAAGTCGTCCTCCTCGGGCGTGTTGTCGCCGGCCGACTGCTTGCCGTTGACGGAGCGCTGGTGCTTCGGGGGCCTGTCGTCGATGGCGCCGCTCGGTTTCCTCTTGGTGCGCTGCGAGAGGGCGGTGCCGTTCATGGTGAGCGAGCTGGACAAGGATTCGGAGTGGCGGGACGATGCGGTCGCGGCTGCGCCAGACGTGAAGCGCACCGGGCAGTTTCTGCTGCGCAGGGCTAGCGCGACGACGGGAAGGCGGGAAGAGAAGAGGCTGCGGATGCACGGCCGGCCGAGGGAGGGAGCACGGGGCGAGGTAGGACAGGAATGGGGTTGGACAATGGAGCTAATATTTGCGAATCTCGTGCTGAGTCTTGACAGGGACGGAAGCTGTCTGCATAGACGACGGTTCCAGACAGGCACCATGTGATCTTCAATGTTCGAGCCCTGCAATTCTCGAGTCCTGGAGAACCAATTTGGCGCGTGCAGCCTTGTCGAGCAGAATCCGGCAGCCTTTTCTCTGGCAGGCCAACCCTTTTTGTCGCGAACGGGTCGCCGCATCAGCTCGAACTGCCAAGCAGAGAGTGACCCAAAAGTAGGAGCGGAGTCACGTGGTAGTGGGCGGTCTCCCTAATTCTGCCGCTAGCCTACACGTCACGCATGGAGCTGAGGGCGAACGAAGCAGCCATCCGATTTGCCCATGATGAAGTCATCGCTTGGCCTGCCAGGTCGTCACTCACCAAAACCCCATTGTCGACTTTGCACCATCGGAGCCGGCGGAAGGGATTAATCACGTGACGACTACACAGTATATCTAAGCTGTATCTCTGACACGAAGGACAGAGATAGAACAAAAAGAAAGAAAAAGAAGAAAAAAAAAAGGGAAGAAAAAAGAAAGGTGTGAAATTGGAAAGAAAAATATGGAAGACTGCGGGAAAGTGAAGCGTCGAAACTATACGGCTCCAATCAACGTGACCCAAATCGCACCCCACTGGGGTACTGTGGCTGGCACGCACAACAGCCATCCCCAAGGATGCTAAAAATTTCTGCCACACAAGGGTGCACCGCAAATCCCTCACCACTGCCAACGACTGACTGCCCACGACCGCAACCACGGCCGACATTAACGTGCTCTCGATCGATCCATCCCGGTATAAATGTCTAAAGCGAAAGGATCCGACAAACGTGAAGCTCGGCGCACTACCTGAGCGGTCCTGTTACCCTGCGTCGAAACGAATACCCAACGGAGGGCAAAAAGAAAAGAAAAAAGAAAAAAAA